GTACCCAAAATAAATAAATAAATAAATAAATAAATGAATAAAAGGGCTGGAGTATGACTCAGTGGTAAATGGCCTCCGGGTTCGATCCCCAATACCAAATAAACAAATAAATAAATAAAAACCAACCCCAAAGAAGAGCAGCAACCCCTACCCCAAACACCTAGGCAACGTTCCAGGGAAGCATCTCTGCAGACTTCAAACTCCCACTCTTCAAGTGTCTCCACCAGGGGAGCTGGGAGGGCAATTTAGTTTACCCAGCCAAGGTTCCATTGTACAGATGGGGAAGTGGAGGCTCCAGTGGCCAGTGAATAGCCCTTCCATGGCATGGTGGAAAGAACCTTCACCCACCCACATTTTTTGATTCTAAAAACAATTAATCAGACATTTGCGTGGCTTCCTGTGGCTCAGACTGTGTGTTTACTCACAATATCTTATTTAATGCACCAAAATTACCCTCTGAGGTAGGCATTTTTTTCCTTCCTTCCTTTCTCTTGTTTTTTATTTTTTGTACCAGGGATTGAACTCAGGGGCACTCGACCACTGAGCCACATGCCCAGCCCTATTTTGTATTTTATTTAGAGACAGGGTCTCCCTGAGTTGCTTAGGGCCTCGCTTTTGCTGACGCTGGCTTTGAACTTGTGATCCTCCTGCCTCAGCCTCCTGAGTCACTGGGATTACAGGCATGCACCATGGTGCCCAGCTTTTATCTTTATTCCATAGATTTGTTCTTGCAGCTGGTATTTCCCCAGCACCCCAGGCCCCAAGATGGTGCTGAGGATCCAGGGCTGAGCCCTAATGGTGCCCCTGGTCTTCCAGGGAGGCAGGGGTTCCTGATCACACCCCATAGGGAAGAGGTGGATGGAGGATGGTTGGGCCTCAGATGGGAAAGAGAGGTCAGGGTGGGGCCGTGTCTGGGGCCAGGTCACACCACCGACAGTGCTGAGACAGGAGCTGGGTGCCTCGTGCTTCCTGCCCCTCTGATGGCTGAGGAAGTCCTGGCTTCCTGATTGGCACTGCTCCCTGTCGGGAGGGAACAGAGCAAGTTGTCTGTGGAGCGGAGCACGAGGCTGAGCCGGCGAGGGCAGGCATGCAGGCCAGGGGGACCCGACACTCTGTGGGGGCCACCCCACTCAGTTATCAGCTCCAGGGTCTGCCTGAACTCCTGAGGGCAGCAACAGAGCCCTGCCTGGAGCCTGAGGCACCTCGGTGGTGACTGAAGCAACTGGACATGGGTATTAGGGTGCAGGGGATTGGGTAGTTACCTGGCCTTTAGGTTGGGCCCCATGGGGTCCTCCCTTTGGGCTAGGGGCAACTTTTCCTCAATGGGCACGTGCCCTTCATATGCTGAGCTACAGCCCCAGGCCTTCTGGACACTTTTCTTTTTGTACCGAGGATCGAACTCAGGGACACTTAGCTACTGAGCCCCATCCCCAGCCCTATTTTGTATTTTATTTAGAGACAGGGTCTCACTGAGTTGCTTAGCACCTCACTTTTGCTGAGGCTGGCTTTGAACTTGTGATCCTCCTGCCTCAGCTTCCCAAGCTGCTGGGATCACAGGCGTGCATCACTGCACCCAGCTCACTTTTTATTTATTCATTTTTATTTTTATGTGGTGCTGAGAATGGCCTCACCCATGCTAGGCAAGTGCTCTACCACTGAGCCCCAGCCCCAGCCCACTGTGGATACTTTTTGACCCTTGTAATCCAGTTTTTTTCATGGGATCTGTTGGGAAGGTGTGAGGTCATTCTAATGACTGCAAGGAATGCCAGGCAAGGTTACCTGTTGCTACACCTCATTTTAGACTGTGTCCATTTTCTTACCATAACTTTTCAGAAATAAGTGGTGGAGGATGGGAGGGAGGATGTGGGGGAGTGCAAGCAGACAAAAGGCAGACAGGGGAAGACAGGGTGCCCTGCGAGCTGGGACAGCTGTTTCCCTGTGTCAGTGGGCCCATGGCTCTGCAGGGCTGTGACCCTTGGTTGGTGAAGCAGGTGGTGTGTGGTGGTTATTTGCTCCTGGGCTCGCCTGGTCTGCTTTGGCTACTAGATCACGGTGGGGAGAAGCGCCCGGCCAGCCTGATGGGCCAGGCTGTGTCCCTGCTGCGGAGAAGCTGGGGCCTGACCACTGAGGGGCAGGAGCTGCAGTCTTAGCCAAGCCCCAGCTGGCAGCAGCACCCCAGGGTTGTTGGCCAGCATGCTTGCCGCTGGGCCCAGGCACTGAATGGGTTAAGCCTCAGGGTTAAGCCACCAGGCAGTTGGGTGTGGTTTCATGTAGTTGACTGAGGCACAGGAGTGGCAGGGAGCAGGAGGGAGGAGCTGGCAGATGGCTCTTGGGGGCCTGGGAAAGGGAGCTGGGCTTGGCCCTGGTGGGGTGGTGCAGCCTTCTAGGGCTCCTGCCCCGTAGGTGTCTACACAGGCCCAAGGATGACTTCATCTCTGAGGAAGTGATTTAGAATCCCAATTTCCAGGAGCCATCAGATGTATGGAATCAGACTCCCGATTGGAGTCCACATGGGGACAAGCTCCAGGTAGACAGGGAACCAGGTTGGGGTCTTCTCCCACCTGTTGCTCAGCCACCCATCTGTTCCAGGGACCCTCTTATTGAAACTTTCCCATCTGGGCTCCCTCCATTGCTGCATACCCACTCCCACCTGCTTGGTGTTTGGGGTGCCCGTTTCTCTGCCCTCCGCTGCTGGGGACTGGCTGCCCCATAACTGCCCAACTGAGCTGCCTGGGTCCAGATGAGCAGATCTGCTCCTGTGTGGGGTGTGGGTGGACCAAGTGCCCAGAGGGTCCAGGGTGGAATTATGGTCTCAGATGTCTGAGAGGCAGGTAGGGCTGGTCCAGGCAGGGACTAGCACTTTGTCCCTAAGGAGCCACACGAAAAGGGATGGTATGGCTCTGTGGGCCTGCCAGGGTCTGGGCTCACCTGAGTGAAGATTTTAGGGAGAGCTGGGGAGGGACCAGATGACTATCCTGGTGTGGATGACCAGCAGCAGTCTCCCATCTCCTCTTGTCCTGTCTTAGATGCTCATAGGATGCTGCCTCAGTTCCCACTTTCTTGCCAAGAACCAGGCCGGAGCACCTTGCCTGGAGGGCTCACAGGACGATCTCACACTGCCACACCCAGGACTGCCAGGGGGAGTTATTACTACCACTGCCGCCCGCTTAGGGACTGGCTCGGCAGGATGCGGTGAGAGGAACCCAGAGCAACAGGGCATTCACTCAGAGGAAGCAAGAAGAGGAACTGTCAACTAAATCCTGACCCAGAAGAAGGTGCAGGCAGACCTGGGATGCCATTTCTTGAAGGGTCATGAGACCAGAGGGCAAGTGGGTCGCACACCAGCCTCAGGGTGATGGCACCCAGTTTAGAGAGGTGAAGAGAGCCCTGGCCAGAGGTGGTCAGAGGGTGGAGCTCAGACATCCTGCCCGGGAAGCCCTTGTTCCTATCTCAGCCTCAAGATGGAAGGGAGAGAGCAGGCTTCATGAGAAATAGTTTATGTATCACAGGGAAACAAAACAAAACAAAAAAACAAACACGCACACACAAAACCACTTAATGCATTCTACTGTCGTATGTAACTAATTAGAACAAATAAAAATATATAAACAACAAAAAAGTGAAAAACCCCATGCAAATGACCCTGACCAAAAAGATGCTATATTTAAAGGTGGTGGAAAGAAACAAATTTAAGTAGTAAACTAAACAGATACAAGCAATGGCCACAGGAAGTCAGATTCTAGGACTGATTTGATGGCCTGAGACTGTCCTGTGCAGAGCTGAATCCACTGCCCAGGGCTAGGCTCTTGCCAGTGACTGGGGTATGGACAAGGCTTTGCAAGGGTCACGAAGACACCGACACATGCAGACAGGCCTCGGGCCCCTCCTTGCATTCAGTCACTGCACTTTTCTACAGGGACATCCATGGAGGTTTTGTGTGGTAGCAGAAACACTGGAGGCACTGGACTTTCTTTCTAGGGGACTACGTGGGAGACATCAAAAGAGCAGGAGATGCAGATGGATGTGTGTGAACAGTGCAGAGCCAGGCACTGGGAACTTCCATGAAGCTGAAGGCCAAAGCCCACCTGTGGGTAGGCTGCTGTGGCAGGCAGGGAGAGCGGGAGACCGACTGGGAGGAATGGAGAGCGGCCTCACGCATGCGGTCGAGCTGCAGAGCTTGTAATGTCCTGCTAATGGGTACCCTGGACGGTGAACAAGGACTGGACAGCATGGGCTGATTCAAAGTACACACTGACCTGTTTAGAAGCTGAAAACCTAACTTGTCCTGAAACTTTTACTTCAAAAGTTTTTTAAAATGTTGAAAAATTAAGAAAAAAAAATTGCAAAGGGCATGTCTTTGAGTGCTATCCACCTGTATTTGGGGACCCCAGCTCCCCTGTGCCCAAGGCCCCCTCCCAGGTCTTAAGGTCAATGCCTGCCTGGCTTGGGTGTGGCAAGGAGGTGCTGGGGGGGCAGGTAGACCCCAGGGGATTGTGGGGAAGAAGCTGTGCCACCAGTGAGGGGCAGTGAGCCTCAGCCCCACAGCCCTCCAGCTGGGCAGGAACTCGCATGCCAACCCCAGTACCTCTGCTCTTGCAGCCCTTGTCCCTTGGGCTTCTCTCCTCTTTGCATTTGGGATTCAGGCCAGCCGAGGTCTCACACAGGCTGTTCTCCAGGACTGAGTTGGCCTCAAGTCCTTCGCCTGGGGAAGGGCCCTGAGAGAGGATCTGACTACTTTCTTGGAGGGGATTCTGTGCCAACCCACCCACCCTCTGTGCCTCATCTGGGCCTTGGCAGCCACCCAAGCAAGAACTGGCACCTTGGTGCCTTGATCTTTCTTCCCAGAAGATGAGACCGTCTCTGAGCAGGGACCCCCCGCCCCCCACCTCCGTGCCTGCTGGAACGCCCTGCCTTGTTCCCCTCTGCAGTTGAGCAGAGGGGATGAAACCATTCCAGAGGTGTCCGTGTGACTGTGCATATGGATAAATGCAACCAGAGAGTAGAGTGCACAAACATTTATTTACAAAAAATTCAAGTTACATATGATACAGGTTTTTTACACACAGTAGTTTAAACAGAATTATCTTATCTATCTTTACTACCAGAAGGTAAATAAAAACATTTAACTATTTAAATTTTTTTTTTTTTTGCTATTTTTGTACAAAGTAACAGATCATGCACATTTTTTCCTTCAGTTTTAAATCTTTTGCTAAGTGCAAATACTAGATTCCTCTCTCCAGTTTTAAGGCAAATAGATTGGGACAGTGGCCAGGCAGTCTCTTGCCCCCAGGAAGCAACCCTGTGTCCCAGAGGGTAAGGTGTCAGCTGCATTGAAAATGCCCGTTTGATGAGACAGGGGCTGATTCTTGGGCTCTGGCCCTGGCATGGGTGCAACTCCTCACCTTCCTCGTCTGCCTGGACACTGAGGTACCTGGAGAGCTGAGGTGGTCACTCTTGGACGTTTGGTTCTGGTGCTAGTCTGCAGCCCGGCTCGGGGAGCATGATGTGGAACCAGATGCCCTTGACGGGGATGCAGCAGTTCCCTCTCCTGAAGCAAAGTGTGGCCACAGAAGCTAGTACTCATCTGCAAGGGGACATTCTTGGCTTTGGCCGTAGGCAGAACGTCACTCTGATCCCCCACTCTCTCTCTAGTTTGGGCACCACCTGCACTGCACTGACTGTCCTTGCAGCTGCCACAGAAATGGCCAGTTTCCTCATCCTGTCTCAGCCTTAGCCCCTTGATGGAGCTATGTGGTGGGGGCACACAGCTGGAAACAGGTTTTTTACACACAGTAGTTTAAACAGAATTTAAACAGGCTCACAGCCCACAGGGACAGCTTGAGAGGCCCCAGAGGGGCAGTGCCAGGGCTTCCTCCCATCTGTGGGCTGTGTGCTGCCTTCTCTACTTCAGGGGAGGTGCAGAGAACATGAGTTTGTGTCTAAGGTACTTAGAGGATCCTGTCACTGTGGTGAGCAGCCCACCTTTCCAAGGCACTGTCATTCAGGATAGAAGTAAGTTCAGGCAGCTCACTGGGAGGCTCCCGAGCCACCTCCCCATGCGCCCCACCCCATGTCCAGGTGACCACCTGTCTTCAAAACTTTCATCCTGAGCAAAGGCAGAAAGAATGTATCAAGTAGACCTGAATCCTTCAAAGACACCTGAGAAGCTGATGGCAGCAAGAGAGTGGTGGCACTGCTTGCTCTCAGGGCTTTCCACCCCTGAACTCTGTGTGCTTTGTACCCCCTGGAACCCCACAGCCACATAACAAGGACAAGGATGGCCAACACAGGATGAGAAAGAGATGTCTGCTGTCAGGAGGGCTCAATCCCAGCTTTGCAGTCAGAAGCTTTGGGCCTCTGCTTGGCAAGTGGGCCGGAGCCTTCGCAAGACCCCACACAGAGGCCCAGAGCTGACTCAACCCCAGAGAAGGGCAGCTGTCCCTGTGCCTGGTGCCAGCACCTCACCCTCTACCAGCCTCCATCACTGACTACTGAGAGAACACAGAGGAGGGAGGGAGGTCGGCTGTGACAATATACACGGCTCCACAGAGTCATCTACACCCCAGGGAAGCCCTCAAAAACACCTTAGAAGGAAAGCTGTTCATCACCTGCTGGGTGTTTGTGATGTCTCCCAGAACTGGGCTGTCTGGGTGGCCTCTGTGATGGCTAATGGAAAAGGATTTTGTTTGGTTAGTGTCAGGACTGTTCAACCTTGGTAGCCACCTGGCGCAGAGTGGCCAATTTCAGCCTGACTTTCCAGAGAATGAGAAAAAGATACCAAGCCATGGAAAATTCTTCAGTTCAAAATATGTGAACAGGAGGAAATGCTCAGATAAACAAAACCAAACCCACAGTGAGGGACAGTTCTCTGTGGTTGCCTGACCTGAGAGGGCCTTGGAAGGGAGGGAGGGAGGGGGAAAGGGCCTGAAGGGGCACTGTGGGAACACTGGGTTCTGGACTGGGAGGGACAGCGTTTTGCCCCTCATGGCACTGCAGCAATGTCCAAGGGGCTGTGACCCACAGCCCCCACTATCTTTTCACTGGGACCAACTATGAACCTCTGTGAGGGGCAGGCGGTCCCAGACACAGGACTCTTGGGAGTCTCAAGGGAGATGATCACAGCTGCCTTGTGCCCCAGGACTTGGCTCCCAGGTGAAGCACAAGTGCATAGGACAGCAGGGGACCCATATCCCTGAACTGTGGATGTGCCATGGCATGGGCACAACGGCCACTCTTGAAGGGCCTTAGTGAGGGTGGCCATGCAGATGTCTCAGTTCTCTTCCAATGCCACTATTTGCTGCTTAATTTTTATTATGGACCTGACTACACTGTGGCCAAGAGGGTCTGCAAAGTTCTTAACTGTGTGGGATTCTCTTAGGAACAGGACAAATGAGCTCCACCTGTCTCCTCCGGCAGGGGCTTGAGTGATAAGAGTAGAGCCAGAGCCCCTGTGTTGGTTGCCAAAATGGCAGAACTAGCGAGGAGACTGACCAGCAAGAGCCAGGCCAGTTCCCTTACAGGCACCCAGAGGACACCAGACTTTGAGAAGCAGTGACTCTTCCCAAGGGAGGAGTACGAGGTAAACCAGCCCACCCTCAAAAGCTGACTCACCACCCCTACTTAGAGGGTTGAAGGTGGAGCCTGGCCTGGGGCAGGGGGTTCTCTGCCCTATACCCACAACTGGCACAGGTTCAGTGGGGCTGGCCAGGGCTCCAGCTGTCAGAAGCGATGCCGTGGCTGGGGGCCAAAGTGCATGGGCAGATTGTGCTCCAGGGGCACATGCACAGGACCGAAGTCATAGTTGACCCGCACATTAGGCAAAGGGGGCACATAGGGTGCCGGGACAGGGCCCATGTTGAGAGGGAAGTTGTTAAACACAGGCCGGACAGGTGGCAGGGGGAAGGGCGGGTGCACAAAGGCATAGGGTGGCATCTGTGGTGGGTGCAGGTTCTGTGGGACAGGCCGCGGGAGGGCTTCCATCCTCTGTACCTTCTCAGGGGGCTTCTCCAGCGGAGGCCCAATGCGTTTGAAGGTGTTCTCTGAAAGGAAGTAGGGTTCAATTGAGGAGAGCAGGTTGGACCAACTCTGCTGGACTCTAGCTTGGGATCAGGGCTGTACCTGCTAACTCTGGGGCCCACCAGAGCTGAGCAGCCAAGGGGCAGCTAGACATAGCTGGCAGTGCTTTGAGGGTTGACCTCTGACCCTCAGCACACTCTTTCATCTGAGCCCAGGAAGGGCTGCTCTACAAGGCAGCTGGCTCAAGTGCCAAACATGAAATACCTATAACCCAATTGTCAGTACCAGAAGCCAAGGACAAACTGTATTTCCCAAGAGTGTCACACTCTGTGGTGTCTCCTAGAGAATGGCACATTCATCCAGCTCAGTACCAGTTGGGGCAGTCCCCATGCTAGAGTGAGACTCTCCTTGAGAGCTAGAGCCTCGAGGAGCTACCACCTCCTTAGAGAGGCCTCGCTTCTGTTTGTATGAGGAGTTCAAATCCAACCTTAGTATTTCCTCACCATTAAGAGATGCCAAAACTGTATCCAAGGCTTTGATGACCTGGTTGGTGGTCCCTCAGAGTTGGGAGTTTCCCTCCCCCTGGTGGCCCTAGGTGCTCTGCTCCACCATCCCGAGTGTGCCTGGCGTGGGGCTGTGGCTGGGGAAAGCACTTGCCTCCATTCTTTCTTTTCTGCTCCTCCTCAGCCTCCTTCTGTATTTCCTCGATTAGCTTCTCATCATCTTCCTGGAGTAAAAGCAAAAGGCAGAGTGAGTTTGCAGGTCCTGGAAGTGTGAGGCCCATGGGGAGAGGGAGGCTGGCTTGCTGCTGGACAGTACTGGGATGAGGTCAGACTCTGCCAGTGATCAGCGGCGTTTTGAGCTGCACACAACTTCTTCCCATTCCCAAGCATCTCTGTTGTTCATCAACCAGGGGTGTCCCCATAGGGAAGCCTATGGGAAAGGCTGGGTTTGTCCCAGCAGGCAGCTGCCTGAGATTGGGACCAAGAAATTTCAGGTCCCTAGTCTGAACCAGGTACAGCAGGCCTTTGTGCAGAGCACAGATAGTCCTGCCCTTTCCCTGAGCTGTGGTGGGGGGCAGCCCTGCTGGTCCAAGCTGGCGTTTTACTTCCAGCTTCCTGCAGCAGAACTCTGGTATGGGCTGGGTGGCAGAGAAAGGGGGTGGGGGCACAGTAGTGAGAGGGTAATTCTGCCACAGACTTCGCTGTTTTCCCTTCCAAAACTCAACACTTAGTGGCTGGGTTTGTGCTACATGCAGCTCCCACATCTCTACTTGCCAACAGGTGTCATGGAGGAGGAATTGGGCTGCTGCCCTAGGACATACCTCCCTGCCCTATAAGGCCTGCTTTGTGTGTCGGTGCTGGGCCAACCTGCTACCCTGAGTTAGAGAGAGGCTTTCTAGTTCATGGTGGGTCCAAAAGAACATTCCCTGGGTTGAAAAAATCCCAGGAAGATGGGGCCCTTCTTTCCTGGCCCAGCTAAATTCCAAATATCTTAAGTGTCAGGGTTTCCTCTCTGAAGTGCGCTGTCGTGAGGACTGAGTGGGTGGTGCATGTATAGGTCTCAGCAAAGAGAAGCGTCATCACTAAGGGGTGGAAAAACTAAAAAAATACAGATTTTGGAAACTTGAAATGTTTCAAGAAAAACAAATGGAAACCAGATTAGAAGATGCCCCCAATGTTTGTCTCTCAGTGGCATCTATCTATCTATCTATATATCTATCTATGGGGGGGGAACTATAATTGCCTTTTTAAAAAGCATGTCTGTTTATTGAACTCAATACCTTTTTATTTATTTATTTTTATGTGGTGCCGAGGAGCAAGCCCAGGCTGCTGAGCCATAATCCCAACCCCTATAATTACTTAAAAAAAAAAAAAAAAAAAATATATATATATATATATATATATATATATATATATATATATATATATATATATATTTTACTTGTAGATGAACCCAATATCTTTATTTTTTTTTTTGTGGTGCTGAGAATTGAACCTAGTGCCTTACATGTACTAGGCAAGCGCTCTACCACTGAGCCACAACCCCAGCCCTACAATTGCTTTTAATTCCAGAATGTTGGAAATACCAAGCCTTTTGTAATTCTGCAATTCTACCTCATATTTCCATAGAGTTTCAAAATCTCAGTAGCTTCGTTATTGTTCAAGTAAGACAGGTGTCCTGACTCTGGCCACATATTCATATTAGTACCACATTACCACACCTCAAAATTATTTCTATTCTGCACCTAAATGTAGTTGAGCCCATCAGTCCTGGGACACCTAAGGCCTTTGATGGCACAAGAAGGTACCTTAGGGGGTGGGGCTGTGGCTCAGCGGTGGAGCTTGGAGCGCTTGCCTCTCAAGTGAGTAGCACTGGGTTCGATCCTCAACACCACATAAAAATAAATAAACAAAATAAAGGTATTGTGTCCATATACAACTAAAATTCAAAATAAAAAAGGAGGCACCTTAGAAATCATCCATTTCAATTTGCTGAGGGCACAGAAATGAGGTCCCAGAGAAAAATAGTTGCTCAAAGTTAGGATGAAAGTTAGGTGGTGAATTGGGACAAAGATTCTCTCTCCCATCCACAGTGTCATTCAAATAGTTTTCCTAGAGATAATCTGCAGTTATCTTGAGATTCCTTTGTTCCCATTGCTTATGTGAGTTGAAAGTCAGGGGGACGTTCATTCCTTCACTAGACCTGTGTTCGGAGCCCTCTGTGCACCAGGCACTGTGCTAGATACTTTGAGGACATAAGAGGCAGCTGTGCTCCCTCCCCTCGTGGAGCCAAGGTCTGTGCTATGGCCAGTTCTAGCTGGCATCCTGCATGGGTCTGGTCAGTGCTGGGTAAATTCACAGCAGTGAAGACTCTTATGACACACGAGTCAGGAGGAATAGAGCATGAGGTACTGGAGAGAATTCCCATTTGGCAGGCCGCTGAGGGTGAGAATGTAGGTGCTGTATTCATTTCTATCATGAGGCTTTCTGTGGCAGGTTCCCAGCCTCCTGGATAAATCCTAGCTGAGAGCACCTCTGGGAAGACTGAGGCTCTGGCACAGGCGGGTACAAGCCAAGTTTCTCCCAGTTCTGTCAGCTTCAGTAGGACAGCACAGAGGTTCATTGCGGGCAGAGTCCCGGCTTGCCTCTAGAGTTCTTCCGAGGTGTGGCCTCAGAGCCCACAGGAATGAAGCACCCTGCCCCACACTGCCTTTCTCCATTCCTTCCAGAGTTCTGAGCAAGCTTTTGATTTGGCAAGGGGCCTGGAGACCACTTGCCTCAATCCTTGTCTTGGGAATCTGGCAGTGCCTGTAGCATCTAAAAACAGTCTGGGGCTAGGGATGTGGCTCAAGTGGTAGCGCGCTCGCCTGGCATGCGTGCGGCCCGGGTTTGATCCCCAGCACCACATACAAAACAAAGATGTTGTGTCCGCCGATGAATAAAAAATAAATATAAATAAATAAATAAAAAATAAAAACAGTCTGTATTTCACTAAAAAGTTCTGGTGTTCAACATGACTTTACCATAATTTGTGAGTCAACTGCCAGTGGATTAGGTGTCTCAGATTTCAACTTTCTCCAACTGGTTTGAGTCACAGGATGCTGTGTTTAGCAATTTGAATTGAAAAAAAAAAAAAAAAACCAAACTTTTTTTAAAAAAAGAAAAAATACTGACACTTCAGCCAGATTGCTTGACTTAAGGGAAGACACTCTGCTTTACTTGGTGTGTAAGATTCTTTCATAAGCAGTTCCCCTTCAGCACTTAAAGTTCCTCAAGTCAAGAGCAAAGACAGACTAAACTGTATACTTACAAATGGCAAATTTTATCTTATATTGTTAAAAAAAAAAAAAAAAGGGAGAAGACTGGGTTCAGATAGATTTTGGCCACTCATCATAGCCCTCCTTGGATATGGGCTAGCTGACAGATGGCAACTGAGTCTCTTCTGGAGGATAGTCCCCTCGGGAGACATTCCAGTCATGATGGGCATGAGGGGGGCAAAGTGGGAAAGCGTTTGGCCTGGTGCAAATCTAGGGCACCCCTGGGAAGCTGGAAATGTGGAACAATAGGATGAAAGTTAGGATGACTGAGAGGTCTAAACCCTTTCTTCTCCCTGGGCTGAGTTATATACAGGAAACTAGGGCTGAAGTTGCTCAGCCAAAGGGTTAGCAGTGGGGGCTCATTCTCTGTGCCACTGAAAGTGACACTGGCTTCTGTACAGCGAGGCCATGGTGAGCGTGATGGACAGGAACATCTATATGACTTTGGAGCTCCAGGTCTGGGTTCAGGGACCAGCCCCACTCTCACTACCTAACATGGAGGCTGGACATTCTAAAACAGGCTGGTTTTAAGAGACCCTTCACCTCTCACAGAGTGCCAAGTACAGCGGCGGTAACACTGAGAGTGCTTGTGCAGCCCTGCTCCAAATGTCTCACAACCTCTCTGTTAGCAAAGCATTATGAACCCATCCCACCTTACAGATCAGAACTCTAGGCAGTCCTGACTCAATGCCTGAGCTCTTGACCACAGGAATCGCTGGTTTCTGAATCGTAGCCTCTGGGGAAGGAGACCCCATGCACTACTTTTTTGCCAAAACACCATAGGGTTCTTTCTCCTCAGGGTGGGCATAGTTCTGTGGCCTCCACTAAATACCAGAAGTGGCAGAAACAAACAGAGCAAGACACAGAAGCTCAGAAGCTCAGCAGCAGGAAAAGGGGCCTTGCTCCTTGATATCCTCACAAATAATTCTGATGTTCTTTGGCTCACCACCCATGGCGAATATGCCACTCCTTAAGATGCCCCAAGTCAATGGTTTTGACAGATTTCTTTGGCATGTGGCCTTTGGATAATAGCCAGCAGAGCTCTCTTGCCCATAGCGGAACAGGGAATAGGAGAGCTCCACAAGCCTCATTTGAGTTGAGCCAGAAACCTGAGTTGCAGACAACAGTCCACCACTGTCACCTCTGACCTGTAATGTTCATGTCCACTGATTTCAGCCTATCCCCAGGTCGGCAAATAACACTTGAAGGCTTCCTTGCCTGAGGCATTTCTCATGAGGTGACCCCCTGAATGCCAGAGGGTCCCAGGAAAATTTTCTCTGTCAAAAAAGCAAGCAAACAAACAAACAAAAAAACAGGGGTGGAATTTATTCACTAAAAAAGGTCATTACAGGGCTGGGTTTGTGGCTCAGTGGTGGAGTGTTCATCTAGCAGTGTGAAGCCCTGGGTTCGATTCTCAGCACCACATAAAAATTAATAAAATAAAGGTATTGTGTCCAACTACAATAAATAAACAGACAAATAAATAAGGGCTACATCCTAGCCCCTTTCAGTATACTTATTTTAGAATTTACTGATTTTTTTTTAGTTATATATGATACTATATCTTCTAGTATACTTTAAATAATAACTAGATTATGATTAATACTTAATAAAATGTAAAAGCTGAGGCTGGGGTTGTGGCTCAGTGGTACAGCACTTGCCTCACATGTGTGAGGCACTGGGTTCGATTCTCAGCACTGCATATATATAAGTGAATAAAATAAAGGTCCATCAACAACTAAAAAAAATTTTTTTTTTTTTTAAATGTAAAAGCCACGTAAATAGTTGCTATTCTGAATTATTTAGGTAATAGTAAGAAAAACAAGTCTATATCTTCAATACAGAAAATATTTGCAAGTTCAAAGCCAGTCTAAAAAACTTAGTATGGACCTGTCTTAAAGGGCTAG